TTCTATACACTTTTAAAATAAACACCTAAGATGCCGTATTCTATACACTTTTAAAATAAACACCTAAGATGCCGTATTCTATACACTTTTAAAATAAACACCTAAGATGCCGTATTCTATACACTTTTAAAAACTAGATTCTTAGAAATTAGTATATGCTGTATGATGAACTTCTATATACAAAACACATAATTAAATCACCTAGACACTTAAGTCGTTGTATACACTAAACACCAGACCTATATAGACTTCAGATGCTCTACACTTTCACAGCATGTGGTTTATACTAGCCAACATTTAAAAACATGAGATCTAGAGAGTAGTCTACAGCACAACTGGAAATCATGTGTTGAAAAATTCTGAAAATTGGAATTTTATGGAGTCTGTAGAACTAATTATATTTATGTTGTGCTGCATGATAAACTGATGATAATGTACACATTTGTAATGAGTAATAGGCAGTAATGTTATTACCACCAGTAGTGTAGTGAATGTACTTAGGGCTTCCAGGACAGGAATGCATCATAAAAACATGTAGAAATAAAAGTTTGGCTTGTGAAAGCCGTAGTTCTATGTGACAAACTGAAGCAAAATTTCACTTTTCGGCAGAAAACCTACAGAAAGTCTGAAGAGGGTATGTGAAACTAATACTTTTGATAATAGAATTTTTCGAAATAGAAAGTCCATTCTCTTCAGTTGTGCTTTAAGTAACTCTATATGTGACACATGGCAATCCAGAAGAGTCTAACCAATGATCTATCTGTACGCACAGAGGTAACCATTACCTCCAGATCAGAAGATACCCATTAGTACGATGACCTCAATAGGCGTTCAAGGGAGACAAATAATCAAATCAAAAGGCTGAAATGGGCTTCGGGTGACAAACAAGAGACAAATAAAGCTGGAGGAAAGTGCTCTTTATGCATGAACCTAAATTCCATTTGTTTGATAACGATCAAAGATAGTAGGTTCGATGGCAGAGAAAATAATATATACCACAGTAAACACACACTATATATTGAAATATACTAGGTAGCAATATAGCAATACACGAACGGACCACTCAGCATCTCACCATCTTATGGTGGTGGACACCTACATAAAACTGATAGCATCATGACTGCTGAAAGATCAAGCAAATTCTCAACCTCTATGTCATTCCTCCAGGAACAAGACTTATTGGTCAGGGATTGATCTCTTGCAAGATAGTGATCGTAGGCATGCAGCAAATATAATGAAATGAAACCTGGAAAAATAGACCGGTGTAAAACTTAAAACATGGCTCAGACTGTACAAAGTCTTGATATGAATATTATTAAGGCTATAAGGACTTATATGGAGACTAAGAAGATCAAACGACAATAAAAAACTGTTTTAATTGTGGAAAACTGGACACTTAAAACAATATTTCACAAAATACCTTGATCAACTTATGTTAGAATAAAAACAATGTTTACTTTTCTGTTTACAGAAACTACAAAATACGAATGCATGGTGCAATATATTCACACTTCTTTTACATTTCCATGATACTGTGTACTTAAATACTTATTTCTGGTATTTTGTCTCTCTCTCTCTCTATAAAATTACTTTAAAAAGTAAACTTTCAGTCACAGAAACTACCTTAAGGAAAACTTAGAGACCGTCAGTTATTCAAGACTTATAAATAACTAACTTAATTTTTTTTTTTTACTTTTGTTCGATATTAGGGGTCGGTTTGAATTTCGCGCGAAGCTACACGAGCACTATCTGCGCCAGCCCTCCCTAATTTAGTAGTGTAAGACTAGAGAGAAAAGCAGCTAGCCATCACCACCCACTGCCAACTCTTGGGCTACTCTTTACCAACGAATAGTGGGATTGAACGTAACATTATAACACCTCCACGGCTGAAAGGGCGAGCATATTTGGTAGGACGGGGATTCGAACCCGCGACTCTCAGATTGCGAGTCGATCGCCCTAACCACTTGGCCATACAGGGCCGATTCGGGTTCGGAAAGATTAACTTAAGGTAGCTGCTCCTGTCTCAACTCGCCCGGGTTATGGTTGAACAACTCTTTAAGATAAGGGAGGAGGTTGGAAGATTAAGAACTATTTAGGTAGGGTGTTTAGTTCTGTTTAACATAATTTTGTAAATAAAAGGGTGGAGTTTGGGACTTTTACCTTGTAGAATTTTTATGGTTTTGTAATTTATATTTAAGGTTGTTTCTGAGTATTAAGGGTAACTGCCTTCCTAGAACTGGCTGCATACAGTAAAAGGCAGTAGGAGTTGACACATTGTGGGTGTAAGCACTGGACTCCTAGCCCTAAACTGATTTTCAATAGCTGAATTTGTAATTCTGTTGCAATGTTTGTTATATATATTGAATTTTATTAAATGTTTTAGTTTTCAAGATATTTTATAATAGAAACTTCGGGAAGTGTTTGAAAGGTATACAGTGCGAAGTTCTAACAGCTTAATTAATGGAATCGCACTGGACAAAAATGGTTACATTTGTTTTGTTTTTAAATAAATTTATAAAACTAAAGCCACACTCCATAGTAAAACATCTTTTGTTTAGTATTTCGGCATTATCTTTCACTGATATAAGAACAACAGCAGCAACAAAACACTTACGTGAAGCCGTAGCAAGAAACATTGAGGTTGCATTTTGCTCCACATTCTAATCTTTGTTGTCGAGCTGCAGCGTTATTACCGTGCTTGGTGTAAGTACACGAGCTTGCAGACGAGTTTCCAAAGTTTTGCAGAATATAAGCAAACAGGAAGACAAGGTCCCAAAAGATGGTGCTGTACGAGGACAGAAGTAACATTTCTAAATTAAATCAAAAACTACTTTGAAATTAGATCATTTTTACAGAATAAATGGTTGAACAACGATTTTTGATATGTGACAATAAAACACATAAACATTCAGAAAAGTCATAATCCGTGGATAAAGAACTCATTAACTGAACAACTGGATTTGCAGGTGACATTGTATATTGGTTCTTTCTTTGAGACAACTATTATATTTTATAGCTACGAAGAGTGAAGATTATTCGTGTTATAAAAAAAGATTTATGAAACGATAGTAATGGTTTGAAAAATGTAGATTTGTCTGTATAGAAGCAGCGTCGAGCTATCACTTTAGACAAAAGGCTACAAAAGTGTATCAACAGACCCTCAAGTAAATGTATCCAAGGGCAAAATGTCTTGACAACAGATAATATGTATGTTCTCTAACTATAAGTAAATAAGAAAAATTTTTAATATTTTTAATTAGATGTAAGGATGACTGGTGCAAAAAGAACAAAGATATGCAAATATTATACACTGTGCAACACCCTCCCCTTCGCTCCACGACCCTCCCCACATTGTACTTTCACAATGCAGAGAGAGGTGGCGTGAAGGAGCGATTTGCACAGAGTATAATATTAACATCTCTTTGTCATCCTTACATCTAATTAAAAATATTTTAAAATGTTTTTATATACTTTTTTGTGTACTATATTTTTAGGTAGCGCTGCGCTAGCTACTTATTGGTGTAGTAATTATAATATAAAGTACTGTAGTGAAGTACGCCAACCTCGAAATCTCTATGTTTTAGACATTCTATATAGTTTAAGTATTATAAGAAACTTACTTACACATAGAGCACTGTATATTTATGTGTGATTTAACTGAAAAGCTTCCTTCGTTTTTAAGCTACAGTGTACGGAAAAGAACAAACTGACCAATTTCCGTTTTCTCGCTATTGAGAAAGGTAGATTTACGTTGTCGTTCCTATAGGCTATGTATTGGCCTCTATTTTTTTTATCTGTGCCTTTCTTACATAGGGACCCACTATCGTTTCCCCCAATAAACAAATAAATGTTTTGTACGTGATTTTGACGCTCAATAAGTGACGTTGTATTACAGAACGTCTTGGGTTGGAGATGAAAGCCTATGTATGTGTAGTTTTTATAAAGTATGTATGAGTACACATAGATTAAACTGATGTTACTTACAGATATACGTGTTAAAATTTATCGCAAGTAGATTTTTGTGTATTTGTAGTATTTAAAAAATATATCGGAAATAGGCAAATTTGGTAAGTTCACGGAGAAGAATATTGTTACGTCTCCGTCTGTTAATTAATTTTCCGTAACTTCGTTCCGACGAAACTTTAGCGACACAAGTCCTTACTTAATAAAACTGGTTTATTCTTTCCGAATATAACTTTACGATACACTTATTTTCAACAATCGCTTTATAACAAACGATATATCAACGAACGTGCTCAGCTTCAATAATACTCTCTGACTGCAGATCAATTACTCACTGTCTACATACACATTACATTACCGTCACGTTTTCACCCTCTTTTATATACCAGATTACCCTATATCTAGTAAATGGTACAGCATTCGCCAAAGAACAGGATAGTTCTAGAAAGTAGAGGGCGTGGGAATAGTCACGTGATCTCGATGACGCAACAATATGATCAAAGTGTTCATAGAAGTCACCAGCATTGCTATAAGGCTATTTCCTAAAAAATAATATACCAATATCTCACAAAACTAGAAAAGACGGAAGAGAACGCTAAATTTCTCTTTTTTTGGGGGGGGGGGTAAAATCTTTAATGTTATTAGTCGATCAACCCGCGCGACCCACGGCAAGAGGTTTTTGCTTTAACATTTTATTGTTCTTGCTTCATGCTTCCATGGTTACTGTTTGTAAAGGTAATGACCCTCACACTAACTCCCACACATCTCACTGCAAATCGACCTCATGCAGTAATAGCCACAGTTCTGGTTACTGTTGAAAATATTATTTATGGGGTTTTGAATCCTTTTTAACTCACCATAAAGTAACCTAATTTAATTTAGGTATGTGAATAATATTGTAACAGTGCGCCTAATTCACATACTTAAATTAATTCAGGTTACTGTATGATGAATGAAAAAGGACCGCATATATATGTTATACACATTTGACCATTATAAGCCGCCTAACTGTATTTCATATGGTTTACAGACCTAAGTTGTGCTGATAAACCTTGAATAAGCGAAACTGCAGTTCACAGCAGCAGAAGGTACCGCCAATCAAACTTAACAGGTTCTCTTTTCAATTTTACTTTTGATGAAAAATAAATAAATCTTTAACATAAATATATATAATTGTTGAAAATGTTATTATGTATCATTATATTTATTTCTACGCCAAATTGTTAATAATATTAATATTTCATCGTAGTATTATCGAGTTTATATTAAATATGTGTTTGAAACTGGTCTTTATGCGTTCTTAAGTTTGTTTTTATGTCTTGGGACCGAAATGTTTTCTGTAGAAACACATCTTACATTATATTAATGATGTGACTGCTTCTAAAGGAGAGAGCACCAAAAGACGTAGACAATGATCAAGCTGGCAGAACAGTATATAGAAACCCATGAAGGGAGTATAACTGACACGTCAAAGAATATCCAGTTAAATTTGAAACCAGTGATAACTGACCAAAGTTAAGTTATATTCGCCAATTGCCAATTAAAGGTTTTTTTTACTTATACTTCTTAATAGTATAAATATATAATGTCTTTGTAAATAGCTCCAGCTGTTTTATGTTGAGATTTCTGCTGTTGTTTGCTAGTGATAGACTTGCAATGTATCCCATTTTATAAAAAGCAAATCATCTCTTCTCCCTTCTGTCTATTAACCTCCTGTCACCTTTGGTAAACTCTTGCTTCTGGTCAGCCGCCCTTGGTTTCTACTTTGACTGGTTATTCTTGGACTTGTCAGTTATACTGCATCTATGGGCTTCCATATAATGCTCTGCCGGCTTGATCATCTCGTCTACGTCTTTTGGTGCTTTCTCCTTTAGAAACATCTGCATATCGGTTAAACACCTGACCATTAACTGTTCTCCCACTAATAGGTCTGCCAATCCCTCAAAACCATTTTCACACTTGGCCATGTCAGTCCATCTGGTGAAATATCACTGCAGACGTGCCACAAAGTAAAATACAGTTTCTCCAGTGTCGAGTTTGACTCCTCTGAACTTCCGACGAAAACCTTCTTCAGTAAGATCATATCGTTTCAGTAAAGCTAATTTTAATTTGTCATAATCCATGGCATCTTCTGACGTCATGCTTGCACATACTTGTAGGCCTTTTCCTGTGAGAAGTGAGCTGAGATAGGTTACCCAGTTGCATTTGTCCCAATTCTGACTTAGGGCGAATCTTTCATCCATGTCATCTTTATGTTCATCAAATTTGGGCAGCTTTGGTCAGCTGGCCCTGATTTCATTGTCATTCTTTGGTCCTTCTTCCTTCGGTTTGGTGAGTTTTGCTATGTCAATTTGTGCTCTTATTCTTTCTATTTCTAGTCTCCCCTTTCTCTCTATTTTTATTTCTCAATTTGTATTCTCATTCTTATTTTCTCCTTTCTCACTTTGTGCTTTTATTCTCTCTAATTCCAGTCTTCCCTTTCTCTCTTTGTGCTCTTATTATTTTTCTTCTTTCTTCCTCTCTTCTCTGCCAATGCTTTTCTCTCTCTAGTTCATGTTTTTCTTTAACAAACTCTCATAGTTCTCTGCCTTTTAACCCAATATGTTCTCCAATTTCTGTCAATTTATCAAAATGTGACCTGTTTAATGGCATGATTGTAATCTCTATACTATTTTCGTTACTACTACAGTTACACGTATCTAAGCCTACTTACTTTCGCTGTCTTTCACGTTTTTTTCTATCGCTGTTTACCATTGTATAATCCTGGCTGTGGCTCGCCAATTGTCAAATGTTGTTATGTTCACCAATTGTCAATTAAAGGCTTTTTACTTATACTTCCTAATAGTATAAATATATACTGTGTTGTTGATGTTGTTGGACTAAGGATTCTTCTATAGAAGTTGTCTGTGACTTATTGGCGATATATTCAAAAATAAATGAACAGCACTCACTCCACTTCTTTTTCAAAATAATGTATATATTCAGAACTAGTTAAACGTATGTACAACAGTCGCTGTACACCATAAAGATCATAGGCGTATCATAAACACTATATAGTTATCTTCTTCTTGTTAAAAGTCCACTTCGCCTATTCAATTGCTTTAGGATTTCAGTTGAGAAGCCGAACTATTTTTCTCTATTACTACCGCCAAACTATCCGAGTATAATTCACTTACTTTATCGTCGAGTTACCACAGTTGCATCCTATATTTCTAAAATAGTCTGTCTTTTTGTATTTCCGAAAATTGTCTGTCTAGTTGTCAAAGTCCACTGAGGCTAATTCACTTACTTTAGAACTCTCTTTGACGAAATAAATTATTCTTTTTATCTCTTTCAACACCGCTAGTCTCAATCTACTATATCAACCGTTAGGCCTTCCACTCTTACGACGATTAACTTTTCTTTCGCCGAATTCTTTATTTTACTTCTCGTCTGCTCTGACTTTGACTGTTTGTCTACTTTTCTCGCTCATCTCACACAATTTATATGTTTATTACTTAATCATCTACTCGCTATATTCTCGGCATCAATAAATTTCATGCGACGTGCTATAATCTCGACATCAATGAGTTATAAACACAAGTACGACTCTCACCAATTTACGTATCTAAACTTGTCATGACATTTACTTTAAAATAATTGCTTCTAACTCTCTTGTTATAAACAAAACTAAATAACCATAAAATATTCACTCACAAAATAAATTAATCAATAATATCTACACTAAATAGTCTTATATGTCATGACAAATGGGTTTCAATAGGAAAACGGGTTTCGCTATGCCGACAACTTTTCAAGAACTAGTCTATTCCGCATATCCAG